TGTCTTGATGCTACTGCTACTATTGTTTTCATGCTACTGCTACTACTGTCTTGATGCTACTGCTACTTCTGTCTTGATTTTCCTGCTACTACTGTTTTGATGCTACTGCTACTGTTGTTTTCATGTTACTGCTGTACTTTATGCTACTGATGCTACTGGTTTGCTGCTACTGCTGTACTTTATGCTACTGCTACTACTGTCTTGATGCTACTGCTACTATTGTTTTCATGCTACTGCTACTACTGTCTTGATGCTACTGCTACTTCTGTCTTGATTTTCCTGCTACTACTGTTTTGATGCTACTGCTACTGTTGTTTTCATGTTGCTGCCGTACTTTATGCTACTGCTACTACTGTCTTGATGCTACTGATACTACTCTTTTGACGGTACTGCTGTACTTTATGCTACTGCTACTGCTATACTTTTTGCTACTGCTACTACTGTTTGAGGCGGCATCTTTCACTGCCGCTCGCTCCTGTAGTTGATCGGTCGGTGCGCTGCGCTGTGAAAAATTTGGATCGAGTGTTTTAATTTAGCCTGGCGGAGAGGCGACTCTGCACCCCTACACTTCTCTCGCGCAGCTTGTTTTTCATTTTCGCAGTGTGTGTTGCATGTGCATGCATGCGGATGCAACAATTGCAGACCTGGAACGGCTGCTGGCGGCTTCCAAAAGTAGGCTTGCTGCAGCTGCAGCGATCCTTGCGACTGCGTCTGCCTAGCTGTATGAGTTACGGGCTGCTTCGCCTTCTGTTACAGCCGTTTCAAGCGGCTTGACGCTGCATATTTGCGTCTACCCCTGCATATTTGCGTCTACTCCTGTGTATTAGCGTCTATTCCTGTGTATTAGCGTCTACCCCTGCATATTTGCGTCTACCCCTGCATATTTGCGTCTACCCCTGCATATTTGCGTCTACTCCCGTGTATTAGCGTCTACCCCTGCATATTAGCGTCTATTCCTGTGTATTAGCGTCTACCCCTGCATATTTGCGTCTACTCCTGCATATTTGCGTCTACTCCTGCATATTTGCGTCTACCCCTGCATATTTGCGTCTACCCCTGCATATTTGCGTCTACCCCTGCATATTAGCGTCTATTCCTGTGTATTAGCGTCTACCCCTGCATATTTGCGTCTACCCCTGCATATTTGCGTCTACTCCCGTGTATTAGCGTCTACCCCTGCATATTTGCGTCTACCCCTGCATATTAGCGTCTATTCCTGTGTATTAGCGTCTACCCCCGTGTATTTGCGTCTGCTGCCTGCCTTTCCTCAGGCTACTCCACACTGGTAGGGAATTTTCCCTTCGCCACGGCTGCTCGACGCAGCCTGAGCTGTGCCTTCGGCTCGGAGATGCGATGTCTTGTCAAAGAGCTGAGGAACACTGTAAGCAGCAGCAGCACACGCATGCATGGATAGGAGGAGGAGGATTAGCAGCAGGAGCAGCAGCAGCCCATGGGAGGGAGTACCCCACAATGCAGCCGCGATTGCCGGTAAAAAACAATTATTTTTTTTGCGTGGTTCAGGGTTGCTCCTTCATTCGCTGCTTCAAAGCAAACAACCGCAAGAAGCCACGGTGTTTTGATGACGCTCTGGTATACACGCAGCTACACAGCAGGTACATATTTACATGTATAACACAAGCTTCGCAGGCTGTAGCAGTTGTGTCTTTCCACACTGGCGATCCTCGATCTGTGCGACTCTTTCTCTCTGTCTGTCTCTGTCCGTGTGTCTCCTTTATATGCACCATTTGTGGGCCCCCTGTCTAACGCTGCCTTCCAATGCGTAGTTCGCGTCTACACACTTTCTTCTTCTGTGCTTCTCGTGAGGCTATGTCGCTGAAGTTTTAAAAGGGTTGCGACAGGCGCAAGCAAGCGGCAAAACACCCCTTGCAGCGCGCTGTTTGCCCTTCGTTCTTGCTGCTAGGCTGCTGTCGCAGAGTATTGCAGGCTCACACACGTGAGGAGGTGTCCGTCCCTGAATTGTGTGTCTGAGGTGTGTGTGTGCTGTGGTCGCGATTGTGTGTCTTGGTGCTGCAGCGGAGCTGTCGCTGTGCTGCAAGTCTTGAAAAAAGGCTTTGCTTCACGCCTGTCTTTCAGCGAACTCATGGAGCGCTACCCCCAGGCCCTCCCACCCTCTCTGCTGTCTTGCTTCGCTTCCTCGAAAGAAGCAGTAGAACTTCTCCTGGCTGCCCTCAAATTTCCACCATGTGCGCTCACAAAAGGCTTCTGCTGCTGCTGCTGCACTCAACGATTGTTTGTGTATCTCTAGTGCCGACTTTTCTGTCGCTACGCCCTGTTGGCGTTCCGACAGAAAAAAAACTCCCCCTCTCTAGCGCTTATTGTAGGCCCACTGCACTAACCCATATAAAAGTATATACATACACATATATCTTCGTGTGCGTTTCTCTGTGTGTATGTTTATGTGTATGTTTATGTGTATGTTTGTGTGTGTGTTTATGTGTGTGTGTTCATGTGTATGTCTGTGTATGTGTGCCACTGCTTGCTGCAGGTGAGTACAAAGTAGGCCTGTCTCAGGTGTTTCTCAGGCAGAACGGCCTTGACAGACTCGACGCCTTCCTCTGTCCTTCAGCCGGAGAACAACAACAGCAGCAACAACAGCAGCAACAACAGCAGCAACAACAGCAGCAGCAGTTTGAGGATCTGGCTGCTGAGATGCTGCGGCTACGGGGGGCCTTTAGGCGGCGTCGCCTCCTGCAGCGACTTCGAGGAGTTGCGCGTGTAGTCCTCTTGCTAAAGCGGCAGAGAGGTTTGTCTCATACTGTTGCTCACCTGCAGTGTGTTGCTAGGAGCACTCAATCTCTTTCATCGTTCGAGAACCTCCAGCCTCTGTCTACGCCAACGTTGTGCTGCCTTCTGCGTTGCAGCGAGTTGCCTTTCCCGGCTGTGCGCTGCCCGCGTATTGCTGTCTCGGCTCATTGAGAAGCGCAGAACGGCCTTACAGAGGCTTTTAGCTTCTGTAGTCGCCGAGCTGCGTGCTGCAGCAGCAGCAGGAGAAGGAAAAGCAGCAGCAGCAGAAGCAATAGCGGCTGCAGAAGGAGAAGGAAAAGGAGACGTATCAGCAGAAGCAGGAGCAGGAGAAGTATCAGCAGAAGCAGGAGAAGTAGCAGCAGAATCAGGAGCAGGAGAAGCATCAGCTGAAGCAGGAGCAGGAGAAGTAGCAGCAGAAGCAGGAGCAGGAGAAGTAGCAGCAGTCGCCAACAGGGGGAGGGAAGGTGATCTGCTGAGGGTGGAAGCGGCAGCGCGTTGCATGCAGGTAATTCAAAGAAAGGCAGCTGCAGCTTTTGTATCCAGCAGCTCGCAGGACCCGCTCACCGAGCTCTGCAGCTAGCTACAGCTGGCTAGCTAGCTAGCTAGCTAGGCCGCACCTCTTGCCAGAATAGCATTCGCAGTTCCTACACAATTATGCATCCCGCCAATGACTTGGAGGAGATGAATCGGACGAAACACGCAGCTAGCTGGTTAGGGAAAAAGCTTTTTACGGGCTTTTAGCCACGCTTGAAGACCTCCCCCCGAGGGCAAAGCGCGCAGACGTCGACAGGTAGTAGCGACTCGCCTTGTGTCTTTCAGTTTCTTGGCTAGCTCTCAAGCGCCGCCGTGTCTACGAAGGCACTTGAGAGCGACTCTACTAGAAAGAGATTGAGAGAGGCAGCTATGCAGGGGTGGAGATTTGTGTTGGGTCGTCTGAGCACACAGAAAAGGTCCACAAGGGCTAAACGCGGCATCCAGCTGCGTATCGAGCAACTCACGGCTCAGCAAGAAATCTTTCGATGCTTCTTTCTGCTTCAGCGCCACTGGAGAGTATACCGCATGCACCGTCTGAAGAAGCTGCTTCAGCGGCAGTTGCAGCACCAGCATGCAGAGACGCAGAAGGACCAGCTGATGATTCAGGGAGGCTTCTTAAGGCCTTCCGTTCTTAACAGGCAGGACGCCTCAGCAGGGGAGGCAGCGAGCCGTCGAAACTTCGTAAAGCGTGGTCGGTATGGGGAGGCGGCGTCTGCGTCTGTTGCTTTTCTAGAGCAGCAGCAGCAGCAGCAGCAGCAGCAGCAGCAGCAGCGGCTGCAGACATTCGTGGAGGCGGCAGCAGTATGCATTCAGAGACACTGGAGGGGCCTTAACAGCAGGAGGGGAAAGGAGGAACTTACACGCCAAGTCATTCTCTTGCAGAGAGTCGCCAGAAGGTGGCTAGCCAGGAGGCAGGACGCCTTTAGGGCTTCTGTCAATCAACACTCTACCCGCTCTGGTATCTGTACTGGTACGTGGCAACAACAACAACAAGAAAAGCAGCAACAACAAGAAATGCAGCAGCAACAACAAGAAAAGCAGCAACAGCAACAGGAACAGCAGCAACAACATGAAATGCAGCAGCAGCAACAACAAGAAAAGCAGCTGCAACAACAACAAGAAAAGCAGCTGCAACAACAACAAGAAAAGCAGCTGCAACAACAAGAAAAGCAGCTGCAACAACAAGAAAAGCAGCTGCAACAACAAGAAAAGCAGGCATCACAGTTGCAGGTTGCAAGAGACGAGAACGTCCGTTGTGTGGACGCCTCTGTCTTACTCCCTGAGTGGAAACAGGCAGCAGTTGATGCGGCAGCAGCAGCGCGCTGCGCTGCAGCAGAGGCCCGCGCTGCTGCAGCTGCGGTGTCTAGACAGCGGACAGACATGGCAGGAACCTCCTCCCAGATTCCAAAGCCCCCGATTGCAGCTTCTCTGCTTAAGGTAAGGAGGCTTCAGGTTGCTGAGCGGGGGTGCAGGCAAAAACTGTTTTACTCCTTGCTTTGACAAGAGTTCTTGCTGTGTGTTTCTTTGCGTGTGTGTCTGCCGCGATGCCTGGCCGTGCGCATGCTGCAGACACGAACGGACTGCAGCATGCGCTGCACCTTTGCTCTGGAGGGAAGGTCGTTAAAGCCACGACGATGGAGCAATCGAATTCCCTCGGCTCCTGCTAGTTCCTCGGGGGGAGGTTATTCTCTCTCTAGCCAGCACTTTCCGCCAGCCTCGCCCCGTGCGGGTGCTGCTGCTTTCGATGGCGACGGCACTGCCGAAGGTACTGCAGAGGCCGTCAGTACACCGCAGCCTTCGGCAACGGGCTTCACAGGACGCAGCGCCTACTGTAACATTGCTCAGTCTGCCCCTGTATCTCCGTTCCAGCCAATGGCTACTCCCAGCGCTGCACTGCCACCTGCTGCTGCTGCTGCGATGCCAGCGATTTCTGTCTCGGAGCTGTTCTACAAATCCCTCATCCCCCAGCCGCGCGTTGCTGGCCGTACGACTCCCCACACGACACTTGAGGGGGCCCCTCCTTCACAGTCGGGGCTTGAAGCCTCCGAAGGGGGGGGGCCCCCTTCGGCTTTTTGCACCAACATTCCTTCGCCCTCGCACTTTGTTCAGCAGCGAAGGAAACGCGCACTGGCTCCCTAGGAACCACCGCAGACGCTTCAACTATCCCTAGCTACAGCGAAGAAGGGGAGTAGATGCATGCTGAAGCCCCTCCCTCTTCGGCGAAGAATCGAGGGATTTCGGTTCGGCCTTCGGAGAAATGTGCAGTGCACTGATGCTTGCCTTTTTGAGCGCAGCACTTTGAATGCAGGACAGAGAAGCACCCCATCCCGCTTAGCAAAGGCGGCATCCAGAAGCAACTGGAGCCAAGCAAGGGCGCTTCAAGATCAAAAACAATTTAGGACCCCTGCTCACTGCCCAACTAGATGAAACCAGACGCTTCGCTAGAACCCAGTCTCTTAGCGGATCCTCACCAGACGCTTCGCTAGAACCCAGTCTCTTAGCGGATCCTCACCAGACGCTGCTTTTTAAGCAAACTGGTGGCTTCGAAAGAGGGCAGTTGCAGCCTGCTGCGCCATAGAAGCGTCTGCAGCTAGAACGCTTTGCATAGGTTCCTATCCCCGGAGGGCAAGCGCGTCCTAAGGATAAGTGCCACGACTTGATAAGTGCCCCTGCAAACTCTGGGGTAGGCACCCCCACTTATGTTTTAGCTTGAGGAGGCCGCCCTTAGGACTAATGGGGAGGAATGGATAAAAATTCTCAGACATACAACCAAATTCTACTCGCACTGGCTTCGCAGAAGCTCCCAGACGCTTTCTTTTCTGCTCTCTTGCTTCCCTCGCTTTCTGAATGGGCCATATGCTAGACACCGCAGCAGCCGGCAAGAACGGCCCAACGTCTATTGTGCTGCCAGCCGTAGAGTCCACCACTCTCACAATAACGCAAAGCCGCAAGCGCTTAGCGCCTTGCGCTCTGAGCGTGCTCTTTGTATACACTTGATTTTCTCAGGGGTGGTACAGCATACACACATCTCGTAGTGCACCCACGTTGCATAGCCAGGGCCGCCACATAACAAACGCTCGGAACATGCAAGGCGCGCTCATGAACGTGTCTTTGCATGCGTGACAACTGCAGCAAGCTCCGCATGCTGAGAGATCGGCCGCACGTGGAGCAGCAGCGCAATACGCAGGAAAGCTGTTCAAAATGCAGCCTCTAGTGAACTTCTCAGTGCAGCTTGCACTGAGAAGTTCACTAGAGGCTGCATTTTGAACAGCTTTCCCAGACATACTTACACAACTATCCGCCAGTCAACGCGCTCGCCCTCCGGTATTTTTTAAATGAGGCCAAGATTAATTTGCAAGGGACTCTCAGGGCGTTGGAACCAGATGTCTTCCAAGTGCTCCTATAACCACACGAGAACTTGCTTTTTGCACCGCTGTGCTGACGCGATAGACATGGGGTGATATAATAAGAACAACTGAAAGCAGAACGGACTATTCAAGTCCTTGAGGGTCGTTCATACGACGGGGGGCACCTGTGCATACCACTTAGGAGTGTGCTGATCATCGTGAAGAAAGAAAACCTGCGCGAGAAAAACGAGGCAGTAGAATAAGCGAGGGTCGTTGGATTTGTATTTTATTTACTTGCACGTATGAGCTAAATCGTCCAGACCAGTGCAGATATACTAGGCTTCCCTAATTTTTGTGCAATCTCTCTGTAGCATTGCTAGCTTGGCAGATCGCTAACACTCTTGCGCTTGCCAGGAAAGAGTGCACCAGCATCCTTGTGCTTTTGTATCTCAGTGAAAGAGAAATCACACCGCTAAATGGGCAACCCTGGCATGTCCTCTGCTGCATCGTCTGGGCTAAAGTCACACAAAGAGATCAAGGCCCCAACTCGAGCTTCAGCGAACGCCACTAGAAGGGGCTTAGTTACTTTGCTGAATTCATGTTATCAGTATTAAGGCCTTTATCGTATACGGTACTAAAAAGAAATTTCGACCTCACGAGGCACGCGTGCAACAAACTTGCTACTTCAAGCCTAACCTCACCAAAAGTGCGCCATCATGGGCAAACGGAGTATGTTGATTTGCAACAGTCCCCAAGCTTCTTATGATGGTGCTAGTTGTGCTCTGAAAAATGAGAATAAGTGTTTCAAGTAGGCCAAAACAGAATTGGCTATCTCTGGTCTATGATTAGAGCTGCAGCACGCAAAACAGGATGTGGAGTAAACGCATCGGTCGACGCACGGTGAAGTTAAGAAGTTTGTGGCACAGTCCTACTTTCACACTCACAGCATCCGGCTGCGCCAAAGGTGTTTGCGATGGCTATAGCGCCTTAGATGTGGGAAACTCCAGTTCTCTCCTAAAGGGTGGAGCCTGGTGCGTTGCTGAGAAGTATTGCCTGTCGCCAATATACGGAGCTCCAAGTCGCTGTAAGACGATCAGCTCCATCGTTAGGCTTGCCGGAATTCTGACCAAGAGGTTTTCAGTAAAGAGTCCAGCAACCAGTAACTTCGCGGCACAGGCCTTCCAGCTAGGCACGCAATCAAGGAATTAGAGTACGTATTTCGTTCCAAGTCAGATCACTGCAGCAGCTAGCGATGCAGCAATAGGCTTAAACTGGCCATATTCTTTTCTCTTGGGAAGTAGCCTTAATCCAATTTACAGCCCCTGTTGTTGGGGAGAAACAATATAAGACTTCCGCGTTCCAAATATAGGATAAGGCGACATCAAAGATTCGAAAACAACATGGCTGTAAAAGAATGGCTGCCGCCAGCCAGTTGTCCTTCTGGCAACTCTTCCGACACCCGCAGCTGCAAGTTTTTAACATTTAAAGGATCCATTAGCCGTGATTTCACAATTTGGATTCGTGTCGGAAATCAAAACCAAGACGCCTTTTCCTCTTCGGGTTAACAGTAGATCTTTGCTGTTGTTGAGCTTGTCTTCTGGACACCTGGATTTTTTTCCAGATGTGTCACCCAAGCCAAATCCATCGCTTGACTACACTCGGCGCTGAAGCTTGCGGAAGACACCCCTGGCAGTGTTATTTCACGAACCCCGACGCTAACGCAAATGCATAATCTCCTCTGTCGTTCCACGAATTTCGACAACAATCCCTCACCTCACCACGGTTAATTTTCCCTGCTGAAACCGCCGAGCCTGTTCCTTTGGCTCTGGCTTCGCTGGATAGCTTTGATCTATTCATGCATGCCACTAACTAATCGATGAGACACTAAGCAACCTTTGAGAGCGAAAATAATATGTGGGTCGCTATTACCCGTGCTTGAATTGAATTTTGTCAAAATTGACCTTCAGCGCGGTGGGCACGCTTCACATTCTTTCAACGCCCTTTGCGGCTATGGCAATGCCTTACAAAGAAAAGACGTGGATCCTTATCCGCCACACCTTAGTTCTTGTCAGCTGCTCAATGCGCACTAAGACCAACGGTTGCACCTAAGTCAGTGACGGCAGTTCGCACAACACGCCTCGTGGCAGGAACAAGCCTTCGCAGCACCGTTGCACAAAGGAAGCTGACGGATGCAATGAGCACCTAGCCCTCATGGGCAATTCTTTTCCCAAAGTTACGGATCCACTTGCTGACTTTCCAAATTTGCTTTCTTTTGTCGAGCATAAGATACCATTTCTGACGGCCTGATGTGCGCAGGGGTATGGCTTTAAGTGCGAAAAAGTGACTTTCTAGTCGTGAAAGCCTCGAATTTGCTGGAAGCAAGAAGATGCTACCGCGCCTTACTCACAGTAATGGGAGAGCACCGTGAGGCTCGTGCAGGTAATCTTTGCCCAAGGCGACTCCCTGCGGCTTGCCCATTCCTACGCGAAAAGTCTGAGGTACTGTGGTACGGCTTGGAGCTACGAGCGCTTGGATGCCTTGCCAAGCATGGAACCAATCATTGGACTCTTTTGACGGCTCAGCACGCTGTGTGTTGTGCCATGTGCTGCATTTCTTCAAGCTTCCCAAGAGCTTGTGTTGGGTAGCTCTCCTGGATCGCTTCTGCGATCTTGACGCTGGCACTGGTGATCAGAAAAATAAATGCAGCGCCACGAAGGTAATTCCATTCACGACGCTGCTCACAGGGGAGGGAAGACAAGGTGCGTAAGCTTTGCACCCTGGGCCGTGTGCATAAGAATGCTGAAGACGAAAAAACTTAGTAATTGCCTGATGGTATAC